ATTTGTGTTTGATAGAGGCTTCGACAACCTCTCGTCAGCAGACGATATGAAATTTATATTAATAATGATTGGATTCATATGCACTTCCTAATCCCTTTACTTTTGTTTTATCCATATGATTTTCACTCGATTGCTTCCATATTTAATAAGCAGCTCAACCCAATGTTTCAAGATTGAGCTCTAAGGGTCTTATGTGATTCCTCTACAATTTAAGATTAACATCTTGCATTAAGATCAACACTTGAATAACAATGGCTAACAAAATTAAGCCTATTCCTAGAACATGAGATCATTAGATGTGTAATTTGGGTCAAGTTTTAGAAAATGTTTTCCAATAGAGTTCAAAAACCAAGCATCATAAATGGATGATCAAACCAGATTAAGCATTAAGTAAGGAATCAAACATAAGTAACAGAACTAAATATCATATAGATCTAAAAAAGAGTGGATAAGTAGTTACATATGAATTCAACTTAGGAGAATCAACTACTTATGGTTTTGGTGTTAACAACCGTAATGATTACAAATAAAGATAAGAAGAAGACAGAGATGAATGATTATGAACAAGCTCCTCATGTCTTGGAGTGAGTACTTTCTGTCTCTGATCTCTCTTCCACCTTCCTCCTTTGTTCTTTTTTCTCCTTTTTATTTATATCCCACTACAAAATAAAGGGAAAAGAACCAAAAGTGGTTCTGGCACTATGTTAGTTGTCATTTTTACTTGAATTTCATGAATATTATTGTGTAAAAATTGGCATGCTTTCATTTTTCCCCTTTTAAATTGCCCAAGGATGTGAATATTATATATAAATATGTAAATTATGTTATAGAAATCCAATCCAATCAAATTATAATAATTTTTTGGTTAATTATGATGGTTTTGCTTTGTAGGTTAAGGGAAGAGAAATCAAGACAGAGAGAAGAAATGAAGTTCAAAAAGACTCATGGAAGAAAATATGTTTATCTCTATCAACTCAATAAGGCTTAAGCTATATCAGAAGGGCTTAAGCCATTCCAGAGAAATTAAGATTACAATCTGCCAAAAAAAGGCTTAAGCCATTCTAGAAAGGCTTAAGCTATCTCAATTCCTTCAGGGTGAAGTATTTAAAAAAAGGCTTAAGCTATTTCAGAAAGGCTTAAGCCATTTCAATTCCTTCATGGTGAAGTATTTAAAAAAGGGCTTAAGCCAATCAGAAATAGCTTAAGCCAATTTGTGGTACTAAATGACCCCTTGTTATAAATCATAACATATAAAAGGGGAAAAAAAAAGAAGACGAAGAGAGCTTGGGAAGAAACAACACACCTGAACCATCTCTTTCTCTTTAGCCTCGAAGATCATCCAAGTTGAAGATTTTGGTGGTGATTCCGACGTTTCAGGAACAGAATGACGACAATTTCTACTAGATTCTTCTTCTTCTTCTTCTTCTTTTGTTGGTTGGCTCTCATGGAAATGAGTAGCTAATCTTTTCCTTTTGGGATTGGATGTAACCTCTTACACCTTAATGTAACTCTTGATTTTCACATATATGTTATGATCTCTTCTACTTATTAGTGATTCATTTTCGTTCTTAATGCCTTTACATTTTGATCACTCGTATTTGGAGCTTTGATTTAGAACTCAATTGGAAAATGTTTTCTAGATCATGATTCAAAATGAATCACCTAATGGTTTAAGTTGCTAGGAATAGAGCTAAAATCATTAGTCTTTAAAAGATTTTCTTAATGCAAGTTTTCCCTTATTTAAATATGCAAGGAATTGATATTTAAAGGGGAAAACTTAGAATCTCTTTACTAAGGAATTAGTATTGAGTGATTGTAATCGTAGATAATATTGTAGGAGAGGGATTAACAAATGTATGCTTATTAAGATTACAAAGAGGTGTAGTAGGTGAAATCCAGTTCCAAGTATCTCATATATGAATTTCTCTAATACTTATTTGAATTTGCATATTTTTCACTTGTTTTAAGTTTTATTAATTTTAAATTTAAGTTTAATGAATCAGATGTTGAATATGTATGAATATATAATATGTATTTATTTTGTGCTTTTCTAAATTAATTGAGAATCAATCAATCTATCTAGTCCCTAAGGAGACAACCTTACTCATCACTGTTACAAGTTGACTCTGGTACACTTGCCACGGGATCAACAAGTTTCTGGCGCTGTTGCCGGGGACTAGCGTCCCAAATTGATTTTATTTTATTTTATTTCTTTAGTTAAGTCAATTTGTATATATTTTATTTAGTATAGTAGTTTTTATATCCTTTGCTAACTCTTTGTTCTAGTCCTGTTCTTTGTTTATGCGAGGTAAAACTCCAGCTGAACAATTACTCTTTGATCTTGAAATAGAGAAAACAACTAGGAGAAACAATAGTAATACAAGAAGAAAGAAAGAACTGGAAAAGCAAAGAAAGCAACAGGAAGATTGTATTGACTCAGCTTCTTCCGTCGTTCAATCAAACTCTAATCTAAACATGGCCAATACAGGAGGAAATCATGGGAATCCAGGAAATCATGCCAATAATGGAAACCCAAGAAGAACTTTAGGGGACTATGCTCAACAACAAGGTCCTAGACATTTCTCTAGCATAGTAGCTCCAACTACTTCAAGAGCAATGGAAATGAAGCCTGCCTTCCTTAGCTTAGTTAGTGCACATCAATTTGCAGGGATGGACCATGAGGATCCATATGCACATCTATCAAACTTTTATGATCTGTGTGGTACCATGGGAAATCCTGAAGGTGATGAGGAAGCAGTTTATCTACGTTTGTTTCCCTTCTCTTTGACAGGTAAGGCCAAGACTTGGTTGCAATCTCATCCTAATCAAAGTCTTATCAGTTGGAGTGATGTGGAAAACAAGTTTGTGAACAGATTCTATCCATCCTCAAAATATATTAGTGCTAAATCAGAAATTGCTACCTTTCGCCAAAGGTTGGATGAACCTTTCTGTGAAGCTTGGGAGCGTTTCAAATCTCTTCTAAGGAAATGTCCTAACCATGGTTTTGAGGATATTGCTCAACTAAACTTCTTTTGCAATGGAATCAAGCCAGAGGTTAAAATGCTCTTAGATGCAGCTGCAGGAGGTACAATGATGTCAGCTGACCCTGATGAAGCAACAAAAATCATAGAATCTTTGGCTTCTTCTGATCATCAAGCACAACATAGCAGACATAGTCATCCCAAGAGAGGTGTTCTTGATCTTAATACAAATGATGCAATTTTAGCACAAAACAAATTACTTTCTCAACAAATTGAAGCTCTCACTAAACAAATGGAAAAACTTCCTCAACAGCTCCAATCTATTAGTTCAACTCCTCCACCTCATCAAGTTTTGAGTTGTGATTTCTGTGGTGGAGATCATGCTAATGGTTTTTGTGCAGGACCTAGTACTAGTCAAGAAGAGGAAGTAAATTACATGGGTCAACAACAACCAAGAGGAGGTAATTTCAAGAATTTTTCTAACAATTATATGTAGGGATGGAGGAACAACAACAACAAAAATTAGAAATATGGTTGGAAACAAGATGTAGGACCCTTCAATAGATAACCACCTCAACAACAACACCAAGGTTACTTTTCTTCAATGCAGGAAAAGACAACCAAGTTAGAAGATCCCTTGAACCAATTCATGCAAGCTTCCCTTGCTAATCAAAAGAATACAGATGCTTCCATCAAGAATTTGGAGATTCAGGTTGGTCAGATAGCAAAGTAACTTGCTGATTAGCAAGGAGGATCATTTTTAGCCAACACCAAACCTAACTCGAAAGAGCACTGTAAGTCTATCACAACAAGGAGTGGAAAGGAGATTGGGAAGGGGATTGGAGACAATTTGAATGATACTGAGGGTGTTGAGGAGAAAAAATTGAGTGAAAGAGAAAGTGATGAAGAGATCAAGGAGGAAGTTGAGAAAAAATAAAGGTGAGAATGTAAATAGAGAAAATGTGAGAAGTAAAGAAAAAGTAGAAAAAAAAGATAAAAATGAAAGAAGTGATCAATTAAGAAAGAAAGAGAAAGGTGTAGTTATAATCCCACCAGTCAAGGATTTTCCATACCCACATGCACCTTCTAAGAAAGATAGGGAGAGACAATTTGCTCGCTTTCTAGACATTTTTAAAAGTCTGCAGATCAACATTCCATTTTCTGAAGCACTGGAATAGATGCCCACTTATGCAAAATTCATGAAGGAGCTTCTGACTAAGAAGAGAAGATTAACTGATGATGGAATAGTGGAGTTAGAGGCAGGATGCAGTGCAATCATTCAGAAATCCATACCTCAAAAATCTAGAGATCCTAGTAGCTTTACCATTCCAGTCACCATTGGAAGATTACTTGTGGGAAAAGCATTGTTAGATTTAGGGGCAAGCATTAACTTAATGCCCTTATCTATGATGAGAAGGATTGGTGATCTAGAAGCTAGGCCTACTAGGATGACTCTTCAATTGGCAGACAGGTCAGTGAAATATCCTCATGGGATAGTGGAAGATGTGCTGGTGAAAGTAGATAAATTTTTCTTTCCAGTGGATTTTGTGGTGATGGATATGGAAGAAGATAGAGAAGTGCCATTGATTTTGGGTAGACCGTTCATGAAGACTGCAAAAGTAATAATTGATGTAGATGATGGTAATTTGAAGGTGCGAGTGCAGGATGATGAAGTCAATTTTAATGTTTTTGAGGCTATGAAGTATCCATGTGAGCAAGATGAGTGTATGAGAGTGGATGTGATTGATGATTTAATTCATTCCACTAGGAAGCAGTTGCATAGTTCTAGTCCTTTGGAGAAAGCACTCATGGATGCCTTGGAAGATTTGAATGAGAAGGAGGAAAAAGAAATTGAAGAGGGTTTGAGGGATCTTGATTCTGCAAAAGAGATTCTTCCAGAAAAAGTGAAGATTGAAGAATTGGAGAAAAGTGCAAACATGGAAGTGCTAAAACCAGAATTGAAGATGTTGCCACCACAACTTAAATATGTATTTTTGGAAGAGGGTGGAAATAAACCGGTTATCATTAGAAATTCTTTGACTCCCTCTGAAGAAGAACAATTAGTTAATGTGTTGAAGAAAAATCAAGAAGCTATAGGTTGGACTTTAGCAGACTTGAAGGGTATTAGTCCTTCCTACTGCATGCACAAAATTCATATGGAGCAGAACTATAAACTTGTGGCTTGTTGAGATTTCCGTTGAAGTACTTTTATTTATAATTATAGATTAGGTTACTTCCCTCAACGGACTCAAACACGGCAAGTGTACCGGCCGTACAAGTAGTAAAAATATCGTATCCACAGGGATTAGAAGGTAAACTAAGCATTCATTGGCTACTTGTGACTTGAGAACAATCCCAATAAATATGAATATGAATTTAAGAACAAAACTACTGGAATTGTTAAAACACAAATGAATGAATTAGAAATGAAATGGGGTGAGAAATGGTAAAATGGACACTTGAAGTTGTGGGGGTTTGATTTCACCAAACAAACACTAGTGAATCCTATGTCTCTTGTTACATTCATTGTTCAGTCAACCATAAATTTACTCAGACCTAATTCCTTAGAGAAAGAGCCTAGGTGCAAAATATTGAATATCAATCCCTTGAGTACTCAATACCTCCACCTGCATTACCGGTTAGGGTTTTAAGACTACTAATGGGTCAAGCCCTATCCCTAGGTACAATTCCCACTAGGCATATGTTCATAACTAGTTTCAAGGATATTTCCCAATACTCAATGAAACCTTAAATCATGCAAAGGGTGATCAAGCCAAAGCAAGCATTAAGCATGGAATCATACACAACAAGGAATGAAACAAAACATATATAACATTAAACACAAAAGGATTACAATAGAGTTTGTTGGTTACATCAAAACCCCAATACAATGGATAGAACCTCTCAAAACAAAGAGGGGAAAACTAAAATAGAGATGGAAGAGGAAAGGAAGAACCGAAGGAATGATCCACCGTGGGAGGCTTCCGAAGCCTGAGAATCCCTCCTGCAGAGCTCCTGGAGGCGCCCCTGGGCGAATGAGGGAGAAAACCCTCGAAATTTTCCTTTTATGCAGCCTGAGGAGACAAATTAGGGTTATTGCGCCCGGCGCGTTACACTTCGCGCCCGGCGCGGGCTTCCCCTGATGCTCAATGTGCTCGCGGCCTTGAATTGCGCCCGGCGCAATTCTAAATTGCGCCCGGCGCGAGGTTTCCAAAGGCTGAGAGTACTCTATTTTATGCCCGCCCGGCGAGATTAACACGGCGCCCGGCGCGGTTGCCTGCTCTGCTCCTTAATTCTTTTGATTTCCACTCCTTTGGCCTTGTTATCCTCAATTCTCTACTTGAATACCTGCATATACAAAAGAAACCAAAATGAGAACAATTAAAATGCAATGATACAAAGAATGGAAGAATTTGATCATTAAATCTTGTATAAAAACAAGTATAATTTAGGCTCATCATGGCTCAACCTCAAAGGCGTTTAAATCCAACAATGAAGGAAATGGTGAAAAAAAAGGTTTTAAAGCTTTTAGAAGCAGGAATAATCTATCCTATTTCAAATAGTACTTAGGTAAGTCCTGTTCAGGTCGTACCAAAGAAAGGAGGGATGACTGTTAAGTCTCAATTATACCTCTTTTTGGACAAGACTTAATGAACAATTTCACTCATTCTTTGAACCATTGCAACATAATTGTTCTCTTTTTGATTCAGTTTCTGTGCAGATATAACTAACCCAGAATTTAGCTAACAATACCTTATTACACCTCATTTTTTTGTGTAGGTATTGAGCTAGAGAATTGAAGATTGAAGACCCTTAGGATTGGAAATCTAAGGAGTTAAGGAGCAGAGCAGAGTGGTTGTGTCGGGCGCAAAATGACCCGCGCCGGGCTTGTAAAAAACAGAGTGTTCCACCTCTGCAAGTCACACCTGTGCCGGGCGCGAGACTAGCCTTGCCGGGCATGATCGAGACAGAGAGTACCTCAAACTCTCTGGAAGGTATTGCGCCGGGCGTAAAAGTAATTGCGCTGGGCATGTTCTGAGGCAGAGAATACTTGATCTCACTGGAAGGCCCTGCACCGGGCGCAACGACTTATGAGCTGGGCGCGTAAACTCTAATCTAACTCCCCAAGCTCATATTTGAAGCCATTTTCGAGGGTTTTCTCCTCATTCACACATTGGACGAGTTTTGGGAGCTGTGGAAGGGATTCCCGGAGCTTGGAGCCGTTCGTGTGTGGGTCTTTCCTTCGGTTCTTCATTCTCCCTTTCATCTCTATTTTTGTATTTACCCTCATTGTTTTGAGTGGTTCTACCCATTTTTTGTGGGGTTAGATGTAACCAACGAATTCTAGTGTAATCCTTACCAATGATATATATATATATATA